TGAATTCGTTGGATCTGCCCAACAATGGCCAGCTGTTTTTGAAATTCATCCCAGTAATTCTCCTAACACATATCAAAATCCAGTTCATTACACCTCACCTGAGGCGGACATAGCCGCAAATCTTCCTAATTTTCCTCAAAGACCTCAAGGTCCACCCCTATGGGAGCGTGTTAAAGTTAATCGCAATTTACTCACAAAACAGCAATCTTCCCAATTTAACAACCTTCTTAAAAAGTATCAAAAATGCTTCGTAGGATCGGATGGTAACTTAGGAAGATACACAGGTCCAATTTCTCATAAAATCAAGTTCGTTCCTCATGCTACAGTACCAAAACAGCGACCCTACAGGTACCTTTAGAAAAGCGTCAGGAAATTCAAAGACAGATTGAGGAAATGCTCCGCACGCGCATAATAGAGCCGAGCACTAGTAAATTCGCATCACCTATCGTTCTAGTCAAAAAGCCCTCAACAAACCAGTGGCGATTTACAGTAGACTACCGCCAAATAAACGCTATAACTGAAAATGAGACCTACTGTATCCCTCATATTCAGGATATCATTGATTAAGCAAGCGGTAAAGAAGTTTACAGTACTCTGGACTTCAAAAGTGGTTTTTTTCAAATACCTCTCGAAGAAAAACATAAAGAGAGAACGGCATTTTCTTCTTTTCTTGGACTCTTCCATTTCACTGTAATGGCCCAAGGTTTGAAAGGCGCCCCCGGTACTTTCCAAAGAGTCGCAAACAGCTTGATAAGAGAATTGAAAGCTTGCTGTTTCGCCTATTTGGATGATATCATTATCGCCAGTCATTCCATTGATGACCATTTTCGTGATCTAGAAGAGGTTTTACAACGCATAGCGAATTTTGGTATGAAACTTACAGCGGAAAAATGCTCATTTATGCAAGAAGAAGTTCCATACTTGGGAGTTCTCATAAGCAAGAGCGGAACAAGACTGAATCCAGAAAAGATAGCTAGTATCACCAAGATACCTAGACCTCAGGATACTAAAGCTGTCAAGTCTTTTTTGGGTGCAGCTTCATACTTTCGCAGATTCATACCACGTTTTTCATATGTTGCCGCTCCTTTGAATGCTCTTCTTCTGAAGAATACTCCATTTCAATGGACTGATCTTCATGAAAACGCATTCATTTCTTTGAAAAATGCGCTTACAACTGCTCCAACTCTTGCATCTCCTATAATAGGCAAGCCGTACATTATTCACACGGATGCTTCGACTATAGGCTTAGGTGCGTGCTTACTTCAGCAAAATCCGCAAACACTGAACGAGCACCCAATCGCGTATTGTAGTCGCCCGCTGAACAAGCATGAGCAAAATTACTCAATAATAGAGCTTGAGGCACTTGCGATAGTCTTTGCGCTTAAACATTTCTACCCGTACGTTGCTGATGCCTCTATAACACTTGTCACTGATCACGCTCCATTGAAGTCACTATTGTACAGATCAGATCTTGTTGGACGTTTGGCGAAATACCAAATCATGATACAAGCTTACGATCTGAAAATTGAATATCGCCCGGGTAAACATAACAAGTTTTGCGATTTTTTGAGCCGTTATCCAGTAGTAATGAACATTTCTACTGCCCCTGACTCAATTCCTAGCTTAGATACCATCAGGGAAAGCCAGCAAAATTCTTATTTTGGAAGTTTGATCACCTTCTTAACAGGGAATGCTGAAAACCCTCCACAGCAGTTTTTGAGTTCATTAGACAAATATTCCATTTTCAATGGGGCATTGTACTACAAGGCCAACGAAAGACCAAAACTTGTCATACCCGACCCTGAACATCAGAATCAGATCGTAAAACTTCTTCATGATAATCCTTTGTTAGGTTCTCACTTGGGAATTCGCAAAACGTATATAAAAGTCTCAGATAAGTACTACTGGCCGAACATGTATCAGGACATCGCAAACTATGTAAGATCTTGCGCAGCCTGCCAAAAGGTGAAAACACCAGCAGGAAATATCATTCGCGAGGAACTGGGAACTTTTCCCATTCCTCAGCGCCCTTTTGAGCGTATTCACATAGACGTAATAGGACCATTGCCACAGTGTATTGATGGTAGCAGATTCATAGCTATTACGGTCTGCGCGTTCAGTAAGTACATCATCTGTACGCCTTTGATAAATCAAACGGCTGATTTGGTAGTAAGAGCGCTAGTTAACGATGTGGTATCCAAGCACGGGATTCCCAACGAAATAGTTAGCGACAGAGGCTCGAACTATGTAAGTGACCTTTTCACTCAGGTAAACAGGACATTAGGAGTTGCAAACAACTTTACCACCAGCTATAACCATAAGGCGAACGGCCAGGTTGAAAGGATGGTAAAAGTTGTCACGGATTCTCTCACAGTCTACTGCTCAGAAGCCAGAGACTTGTGGATGGAATTCCTCCAACCTATCGTTTTTGCCTACAATTGCAGCAAAAACGATACGACAGGGTACAGTCCATTCTTCGTGATACATGGTAGACATCCGGTCACATGGATGGACGTCATTCACAAATTACCTTCTACTCTCACTTTTGCTACAGATAACTTCGCAGGCGAGTTTACGACAGCCCTGCAAACTACGATAGTGGAAGTGGGAACCAGCATAGCAGCAAAAACGGCTGACTACAAGGCTGGTTACGATTACCAGAAGAAGGTATATAGTAAGGACCTTTCCATTGGTGATCTTGTATTGTTGCATGACGACACAGTGCGTCCCAAGTTTACCCTCCAATGGAAAGGCCCATTTGTGATTGTCTCCATGTGCCGTCCCAATGTCACCATTAAAAGTCTATTCAACAATAAGTCACAAACAGTGCATGTGAATAGACTCAAATTGTATTACAGCAGGCCGCAAGAGCGTGAAGTCTCTGTGCAACCACAATCTAGTCACACAGAGGCAGAGACTCCACGTTCCAGTGTGCCTAATCTCAGATGTTCAGAGCGTCTGAGACAAAGGACTGTTTGGTCTCCCTCATAATGAGTGAGAGGTGCCAGTAGCAACCTCACAAAAAATCTCATTTACGCAGCGGCTACTGGTACAATGTAAGTTTGCCGCAAGCATACGCACTATAAAAAGAAAGAATTCTTCGATTGGCGGGTCGAAGAACGCTTTCAAACATTCACTTTTCCTTCACGCCCTTGTGAGCAACGCTAGGAAATTGTTTCCTCTCGAGTTGTGAACTCGAGAACCAAATGTTGTGAAATTTCAATGCATTTATGTTGATATTTGTGAGTAGCGAAAATATAGAATGACACATTCTATCTTTTCGTTCAATATTTCATGTTTTACATCTAATTTTTTACTTTTTGTAATGTTTATACCATTTTATTATGTGTAATTTCATCCCTCCGTCATATCCCCACGGAAATGATCCTCATATTCAAATCCGTTTTGAATAATTATCCTATGCTGCAACGTAATTCTTATGTCTTCCGCTCGAGGACGAGCTTTACTTTATTGACGGGACGTACGGGAGCGTGCGCTTCGCCTTCTGGCGTTCGCCCTTCTGTTTACCTTGTCTCTTACCGGCTCCTCCTCTATGCAACGTGAAGACGCGATCCAGCAGATGCAACCCAGTCCACGAAGTTCGATCCCCACGAAAGCAACGAAAAAGATGAATGGTTTTCGAAGATGAATGCTAATCGCAGATGATCAATGCACGAGCAAGCAGCGCCATCAATTGTCCAGCAATCAATCAATAAAGATGACGATGATATGGTAAAAAATCGATCAATGATGAGTCGACGTATGAAAGAGCTCGATCAATGATGCAATGACGACGACAGAGCGATCGATAATGATGACAGTGATGACAGCATGGTTGAGGATGGTCAAATGGTCAACGTGTAAACTCCGAGATGATCAAATGTTATGATGAATTCGTTCCCGAAGCCATGGTCAAGGATGAAAGCTCGGGACGAGCTTTACAATGGAATGGACATGTCGAGACGCAGATAATTAGATGGTCCGACAGTCTCCACGCCAACTGGGCGGTGCCCGGAATCTCCAGATGAGCTGGCACTCCCCGGGTGCTCGGTGGTCCCCTCCCCAATTATGTCCCCCAATTTTATATATATATGCTATAATGATAAAATCATCTAGTCAAGATTTGTTCTGTTAAGAAGCAGGAAACAAGGGTAGAGGGATCAAGTGACGAGAGTAATTAACTCGTACACTTGACAGGCCAACGGCGGCTACCGGCTGCTACGAGCTGCTGGCGGCTGCTACGGGCTGCTGCGGGCTGCTACGGGCTGCCAGCGGCGGGTGCCGGCGCGGTATGAAGGCACCCTAAGCTTCTCAAAGTACTTCTTTACAAGAGAGTTATTTACAATCAAACAGTAGGTACAGTCTGCCTCAATCCTAACCAGACCAAAATTGGCTTGGCGGGAGTGCGCGTCGCGAGGGTTTCGCGCCACTTCTGCGTCTAGCTAGTCTGCTCTCCCCTCAATCTCTTCGCTCTCTGCGACAGCGCGCGTATGCAGCGCAAACCCCTTGCTCTGCTTGCGCGCAAATTCAGCCGATGGTTCGGCCTGATCCCGATTGGGGCAGACTATATCGTCGATTCGTTGACCGCACGGACTGCTCAAACGCTGCGGAGCACGCGCGGCGGGGCTGAAACGTTGCGAGAGCACGACTTCTAATTAAATACAACAGTGAATTTGTATTGGGGCAAGCGCTTTACCTCGCGGTGCGTGCTCCGCAGTGATATCCAGTTCGTGCGGTCAACGAATCGACTATACATTTTTTTGGGACACCCTGTATATGAGGCACAGATCGTGTCTGGTTTGCGCGTGTCGCGTTCGCTTCGCTTCAGTGGGTAGTCCGCCTCTGTCCGATAGTAAACCATGGAAAGGTTTGTTTTGAGCCTTCATGCAAGTATATTATTTTCGGGGGTCAAGATATTTGGAGTGTTTGGTTGCATGAGACTCGGTTGCAGTGAAGCGAAAATGCAAGAAATAACATACACTAAATCATAAGAGACTCACTTGTGGTGTAATTGCGCTATAATAGCGCCTTTTTGGAAAACATCACTGGAGTGCATCGGACTAAAAAAGATGAATATCATGCTATTATCACCAGACATATCTAACAACGAACAGTAAACACGACAAACAGGAATACAGTCCAATTATCCCATTCTGCAACCACTCCTATAACTGCACCGCCCTCGATTCTGCAGAGAAACAAGCACTTTCGCGTTTGAAACTTCAGTTTTTACGAAGTGGTATATCTACGTTGAGTAGCATAAAGAAATAGTAGGGCGCTTTATAACTTCCGCAATCTGTTGTTGTGGAGGACTATGCGCAGGCTCCCACACAAGAGTTCCCATTGTTTTTCTCTAGCTCCACACGCAGGCTCCCACACAAGAGTTCCCATTGTTTTTCTCTAGCTCCTTGCGTCCGCGACGCAGTCTGCGCCTCCTTCGCGAACATGCTCTCTGATCATTTTCTAGCCTTAATTAGGTCACGGAGCCCTGCCTTCCAGCCGCCGATCTGGTTGAAGCAAAGGGTATTACAAACGAGGATCTGCGCCCTCTTCCCCGCTACAAGATGGTAGGGTAGCGGTTATTTATGACCGCGCCAGCAGAATGAAGTATGCGAAAAGAGCGGGCTCAAATTTTTCAGGTTATACATATGCCGTAGCATCTCGCCTGGCCTGCTTTTCTCGTACTCCGAAGGTGGTGCAATTACGAGGGTTGTTAAAGAGAAGCATACGTAGTTTGATTCTGATCGTATGTGAAAATAAAGGATGAGATGAAAAAGAATTTCTTTTTCTTTTCGAGAGATGGAGCCGAACCAATACTGGCTCAAAAGCGTTGATGATGAAAAGTCTGAGGCAGGAAGCTAATGAGAAAGCTAATGCCTAAAGCTAATGACTTCTCATTTCATGCTATAAGATTTGATTAGAGATGACAGAGATGTTGAGCTGCAGAAGATACATCATTCTACATCATTTACAGAATCACCGATAAGTCTTGTGCCACCACCACGTGTCAAAATCGTGTCAGATTTTACAAATTCAAACATGGGAAGGTTCTAGTGAGTTTCAATTCTTGACCATCAAACTTCATTGAGTCACTGTAGTAGACAATGAACGTCTTGTGCGATAGTCAGTGGTGACATTATTTAGTCGCGAAATCAAAATTAATTTGATTCGCAGACAGAGCAATAGCGCTAGTGTGTTTGTCCAGCTGTGCTTTACTCACTAACATGGCAATGAAAATCGTTCTCGAAAAAGAATCGTTGAGAAATTGCTGAATAATCCACTTTGAAAAAATGATGTGGACCGACGAGACTACGTAAGGAAACAGGAGACGCAGGGTCGAGACTTTCAATCAGTCACAGTATGGTCGTTTTTCTTGATCGACCCAGATTTCATGAGGGTTTTATGAAATCTTATAATAAAGTAAATGACCAGTATGAACCCATCATGATGCTTTCACCTAACAAATCATAGGATCACATATTTTTCTAGGTGAGGTTTCTTTTAGCTTTTTCAAAGATATTTTCACAACCCTAACAGGAATGCATGGGTAGGAACGCGATTTCTCCTAAACAAGTGACTTAAAGAGATGAAACAAGTCTGAGTGTTCCTAAAAGTACGACATTTTTCTATAAATCTAGTGCTAAGCGCACTGTATGCACCACTGCTATATGATGTTGCTACTAGAAACAGAAATTCGGTCATTCCGATGATGTCTGATAAAGTGACGTTAGCATTTGTACAAATGATTTACATTGCTTTGGTAACGTCATTGTGCGACGCTAACAGTGGAGAATACGAATGAATGTTGCAAACAGAATAGTCAACGCAGAACGAACAAAGTTGTTTACGTTAGGGGTACCTGTAAACAACAATCGTGAGAAAATATCTGCAGACTTCCATGCATAACAATTTTTTTTCAGAGATGAGCTCCTAATGAGATCTATGTAAGGATCAGTTTCAGATGATCCAGATGGCTATTCATTTTGGTATTCATTCTAACAAACTAAAATCGATCTGTTTACTACTCATAGCGCTGAAACATTCGGGCGGACCACCCGCGAGTTTAGTCGCTGGAACGAGTTTGAGGCTGCAGAGCGATGGAGTGAAAGAAACTTGAAGGATCAGATCGTCTCCCAACGAGGGGGTGGACATGCGCCCAACAAGAATGAAAAATTAGCCTCGTTTCTGAAGGATCTAAGGAGGCATTAGTAAATGATTGGCTTTTACGACCAGGATTTACTATATTTTTCATCAATCTCCTCTTTATCTATGGTCATTATGCAGATGACATGATAGTGATTGAATAGTCAGTCAATCAATCTAACTTCTTCTAATCCTACAAGCTTACACAATTCTCACAATCAATCCTTCGCAGAACTCTCATTGTTATGTTTTTATCTCAAGTCATCTAAAAATGGACAGCGCACGATTTATGGGATCAAAATTTATGTAGTGTATTTAATCTTTGTTCTAATCACAGGGCAGAGAATAAAATTCAAGTTATGATTGATATATGCTGCAAAAAAAAGATTATGCATATTTGCACTGTGTACCAGTGGCAGGTACATGCTAGAATGAAAAAAGTTGAGATGATTGATGCGTAAAGAGTAGGTAAACAGAAATGCCTGGAGACGAGAAGATAAATATAAACAAAGTAAGGCATTTGAGCTGGGCAGCTTGCTGTTATACATACTGAAACGGTTCCCTAACCGTATGTTCATTGGCCAATAAATTGAACACGCCATTTTCAAAGATCTCCGAGAATGTCGTGTTATTAGTGCAACACGAGGCACCCTCTGCTATCTCGATTTTCAAAGATCACGCGAGGGACAACACCCATCGATTTTCGCGAAGAATTTATTTTTGGGTTTTTCAAAAAAAAGCGCATTGTAGTAAACCTGACATTGCGAAAGAAATCATGCATGCCATCTTTTCGCAAAGTTATGATTTATGATTGCTGTTGGGAAAAAAAGTAGTCTCTAACCTTTACACCATCAGAACAGCTGATTTACTCAATAAGATTACACTATATGATGGATTTACCAGAACTTTTCTGAGACTCGTTCTAGATGGTTTCACTAAACAGTTCCCATTTGAAAGTTACGTAATGAGAGCAGATCCGATCGCTAGAACAAAGGAATTTTTTCAGCTATACTCTTATCAGCGGAAAAGGCTCGACTACTGTTGCAGAACTTATTATTAACTAATATCTTTCAAATAAACTCAAAAAGAACGATCCGCATTTTTTTTCTAGTATTCTTACTGCGTTCTTTAATTAATAATTCATCCAAAATTTGCTCCCTCCCTTCATTTTATATATTTTGTACTACTGCGGTATTATTTTATGATCTACATCTCCTTACAAACAAATTTTCAATTGTACGAGAGAGAAAAGTTTTTTTTTGCGGTGTGGAAAGATTAGACAAAAGATGAAACCGAGCAATATCATGTTCTTTTCCAAACCGAGCATCACTTTGCTGTAAGCATTTTTAGCACTTTCAAAAAAAGGCAGCTAACGCAGGCAGTTATGTCTATTATTATCTTCAACATGAAAAAAAAACGTCTAGATTGCCGTCTGCAAGACGGACACAAAGTGCAACGTTGCACTTTAGCAAGAAGAACAAATCTTTGCACAATATTTTGCAGGGGCGATAGTAGTGTTTGAGAGCAGAATGTGCTAATCTTTGATAATAGCCTGTAATCTTCACGAATTAGAGAACATTTGCCTGCGACTACGCTACAGATTGTATCAATCAGAAAAGGAAACAACCACTGCCTGATTAAGATCAAAGGTTGAAATCAAAAATAGAGAGATCATGACGTTCTGGAGAAAGAGAAATCGTGCACTTTCTAAATGTGTTTTGGGCAGCTCTATTGATATATTACGGCCTTACAAGCTAATAAACAAAAGCAGTCAAATCTTGATTTCCCAAACTTTAGTCGCCAATTCAAAAGAATTTCAATTATACTTTCAACTGTGGTTTTACAACTTATTATTCGAGCTAAAAACCTTGATGATCAGTTGTATCTGATAACAATCACGATTCAAGTTTCGAGACGACTAAAATCTTACATAATCTCTAGCATAATAGAACATTCATTGATATTTGATATAAATATTAGTATAATATTTAATATTGATATTTAGTATAAGTTGGAAGGTTTCTCGTATTTTTTTTGACACCTTTTATGGATCATCCTAATAACTCAGAGGAAATCAAGTAAGTGAATGTTTTCTTCTACTATGTGCAAATGCACATTCTTTGAGAAGCAGATACTGGGACGGCCTTAATAAAAGAATACAAGGTTATAGGTATCCGATCTTCCTCAATAACGACTACACTTGCAACCATGAAAACTGGGAAAAGCCCGACGAAAAGAACATCTGAGCCTTATGACCCACCTAAATCAGAGATTGTGTTATTGCATGTACAGACTGCATAATAGACCAATAATAAAACCAATGTATTCATAACTACCACACAAGGAAGTAGTGGTCTATAAGGACCATATGGATAAAGAAGAGAGGTGAGACCAGAGAGGAGCGATTTGTGTGGGGTCCGATGGCGCCACTTGGTCTACGCCTCCTTTCTCGACGTTTCCGCGCTACGAACTTGCTTTGACCGACGATCATATCTTCGATAGTCAAGAGACAGAGGCTAGAAAGTGATAGTTGTTTGAGTTCTTGCCCCCTATAAAAAGTGAAGGTTGTTTCAGAAAAATAGACGAAAATTTAGAGATTAAATTAGAAAACTTAGAAAATTCATATAAAGCAGAGGTTAGCACATCACCAAATCTGAAACCTTAATTTGGTGGTTTCCTACGCAGAGTTTCGTCTCCAGGATTGCTGGTTAAATTGGGTGGCAACAACAACAAAGTTCTTTTCCGGTCAAAAAAAAGCGCTGTTTAGCTGTGGCGTTAGTTGGGAGACCGAAAGAAGAGGAACTTGTCAACAACTGAATTGAACATGTTAAACATGTCTGTAAAGTTGTGTTGCACATCGACGCCAATCTGATTTTTGATGCGTCCTTCAAATTTTCACCCCCGCATAGTCGTTTCGTACGCTGCGACGTTGTCTGGATTCTTCCGCTCATCATT